GTCAATGGTTCGATCATCCAGTTTGAATGGATAGTTCGTTCTGACAACAAAAATTACAGGCAAAAAATTTAGTGTATAAGGTCCATTGAGTAGTATCATACATGTTATGTCATTCGAGCATGTGACTCATACGACCCAAAAATGGAACTATTTTGGCCACTAGTTTTCAAGTCGATGATTCAACCGTCAGATTCGAACGGACAACCCATTATGACAACAAAAATAAAAAAAAAAAGCAGCCAAAAACCATTGAACGGGTCAATGGGTTGACGGTTCGACCACTCAGGTTAGTGGGTTGTTGACTGATTCAATGGTTTTTGGCTAGGGACTAAGGTTGGGGTAAAACGAAACTGGTTGCTTGGACAGTTTCCAATTAAAAAAATAAAAAAAAGGACGACCCATTCTGACAACAAAAATTACATGCAAAAAATTGAGTGTGTGAGGTCGTGTTATGTCATTCGAGCGTGTGACTTATACAACCTGAAAATGGAATCGTTCTAGCCACCGGTTTTTGGGTCAATAGATTAATTGTTCAATTCGAATGGATGGCTTGTTTTGATAATAAAAATAAAAAAAAAATAAAAAAAAATGACCAAAAACCATTGATGGAACCCATAATACAATACCAACAAGACGATACTCTCCCGATCGACCGAACCGAAGCAAAGAGGCTTGCCCACAGGTCAGCTCGAAATTGCCTCATCCGAGGCCAGCTCTACCGTCAGTCACACACTCTCCCCTACTGATGTGTCTCCCAATAGAGGTCGACTACGTCCTCAAGGTGATACACGAGGGTATCTGTGGAAATCACCCCGACGCTCGTACCCTAGCATACAAAGCACTTCGACAAGGCTACTTCTGTCCCACCATGAAGCGGGGTGGAACTCAACTCATCTAGAAATGTGACCACTGTCATTGGCACTCAAATCTCCATCACTAGACAATGGCTCCTCTTACGCCCATCCTTAGTCCGTGGCCTTTCGCCTAATGAGGGATGGACGTTCTCGGAGCATTCTCCACCGCGGTCAGGCAGAAGAAGTTCCTACTCGTTGTGGTAGATTACTTCATGAAATTGGTAGAAGTCGAGCCCCTAGCATGCATCACTACACAGAACGCCTAAGGGTTCTTATGGAGAAACATCATATGCCGTTTTGGCATCCCTCGGGTTCTCATCACTGACAATGGTTTCCTGTTCATTGATTGGAAATTTGAGGCCTTCTAGGCGGAACTAAAGATTGATCACCAAAATATAGCCATCCACCAACCATAAAGCAATGGATAGACCGAGATGACCAACCACGGCCTAAAGACTAGACTCAATAAAGCAAAGGGCAAGTGCGTTGAAGTTTTGAAGAGCTACCATGCACGACTACTAGAGAAACCCCATTCAACCTAATCTTCGGAGCCGAGGTGATGGGGTCAATGGTTCAATCGCCTGGGTCAATGGGTTGTTGACCGATTCAATGATTTTTGGCTACAGACCGAGATTAGGATAAAACAGAACAGGTTGCCTAGATAGCCGATTAAAAAAATAGCCAAAAACCATTAAACAAGTCAACGGATTAATAATTCGACTGCTTAGATCAATAGGTCTTTGACCGATTCAACAATTTTTTGCCAAAGACCAGGTCAACAGATTCACAGATCGACGGTTCCATTCCAACCCCTGCTTAGGGCCCCTTCGCTAGTCTATTTTTTAGTCCAAAAAATATGCTGTAACTTATTACAGAAATTCTAAATCCACTGCAAAACTATAAAAATTTAAAATGTCAAATACCTCTACCTATACAGTCACGCCCATCCCGGAATTGGCATCAATTGCAAGCTGGCACAAATTCTTTACGTTGGGCTGTTTTTTCTTTTATAAACAATACATCTTTGAAAGACAAAAATGCCCCTGTATATGGAAATATTTTTATCCCTAGAAAGTACAAACAGTGGTTAATGTAGTAATGACCCTACAACAAACAGTGCTTTCTTTTGTTTCTCTCGAATTGTCCTGCGCCGCTAATCCCGGCCTCACAGCTGAGACCTCTCCGGGCCGGTGGCCCACTTTGATGTTCTCTATTGGTGCACATGAACTTTATGCTGGCTGCTGCTGCTACCGTTGTTACGTTTTTTTTTTTAAATACAGCGGATAGAGTTTTTGATGGGTTGGGTTTAACGATAAATCCCACTTGACCCGATCCAATCGGGTCAGGCTTATTCAGGTGTATGGTTGGGATAGGGTTTTGATTTTTTGGCCTGAACTGGGTTTAGGTTTTGACTTACCCACCCCATTGGGTCATGATACATATTTTTTTTAGTTTTCTTCTCTCACTAATGGAGGAGAAAGTAACGCCTTAAAATCTATAAACCAAATTCCAACTTAAGTTAATGGCTTCTAAGTTTACAAAATGTATTGTAAACAATATAATTGAAAGGTTGTAGGCTAGATCAGGTGGATATCGAGTTGAGCCTATAGGGTCATGGTGATTCAGAAAATTACAATTATCCAGTCAAATTGGATCAGGTTCAAGGTGGGGAAATTGGATGATCATAGGGTTGAAGCAAACCTGTGCTAAATCCATGTCATAACATTCTGTCATTTTTTTACATGCACATAAGGGGCCTTTGGTTCATAGGAACAAGGGTTTGGAATCAAAATCGGAATGGTTCATTCCTATTCCAACAGTTTGGTTAGGTGAAATTGGAATCTGATTTCCATTCTTGGTGGAATAACTTTCCCCCATTTTGAGGGAAGGGCCATCCCCCCTCTCTAGCCAAATTGTTTTCATCTCATAATGTTTATACATCATATAATATCTACAATACAAAATTTGTTCTTCTTTTATAAGTTATTATTTTGATGGTTTCAAAAATATGAATTGTTTTTTTAAACAAGATCAACTTGTTTTTTCTCATAATAAAAAAATAATCCATTAATATATTGCAAATTTTATTTTCTTTGGCCCCTTGGTTTGAAACAAATGGGGAAAATCATATTGCAAACACTCTCTTAGGCTCCGTTTGGTTTATGGGATGGGATGAGAAAAAGGGAATATTTCAAAAGTGTTCCCTTTTCTCATATTTGTTTTGAGGGAAAGAGAGGGATGGAATGAGAAAAAGGTGGGATGCCAGATCCCAAAATCGTGGATTTGGGGTCGCACTAAAACAATTCAACTGGAACTTGGTATTCTTCTTCGTCTTCCTCCTCCCTCCCACATGCTTCGTCCATTCGACTGGAACTCGGTATTCTTCTTCGTCTTCCTCCTCCCTCCCGCATGCCTTGTCCTCTATCAACTGGAACTTGGTATTCTTCTTCGTCTTCCTCCTCCCTCTTGCATGCCTCGTCCTCTATTGACATTGGTTTCGCTGATTTCGCAGGCCGTTGCTACTTCGAGCTTCGCTGGTTTCGTAGGCCGCTGCTACTTCGAGCTTTGTTGGTTTCGTAGGGCATTGGTTTCGTTGGTTTCGTAGGCTGCCGCTGCTAAGAGTTGCAGCGGCAGCGATCAGGAAATAAAGAATGTGGCAGCTATGTTGCCCCTGCCAGTAATCGAAGGAATAAGGCTGCCACTGCTAAGAGTTGCAATGACTATGAAAAGGGAGGAAGAAATAGGGACGGTGAATGTGGCAGGAAGTCGGATGAGGAAGGAGAAATAGAAAAGAAAGAATGGAGGGAGAGAGGGAGAGAGAATGAGAGATCGGAGAGGAGAGGAGAGAGATCGCCGCCGCCACTCCTCTAGTTCGAACGACGAGGAGAATGAACAATAGATTGAGCTCCAATACTTCGGTCCTTTGGTCCCTTTTACACTTTCCCATCCCATCCCAATAAAATCAAACAATGTAAAATTAAATTTTTATACTTTCCCATCCCACCCAAATCTTCCCACAAACCAAACGGAGCCTTAGTGTTTGTTTGTCATGAGTCTAGATCTACATAACCTATCAAAATTCAGTACACCAAATTTCCTTTCCTTAACATGTGGGCTCCATGTGTACAAACCACTAGCATGTTCACTCATGACAATGATGCAAGTAGTAAATCCCAAGTGGATTGGCATAGCCTTTGTTTTTTATTTTTGCTACAAAGGTGGGTAAATCCATAACTCCTCAACCCCTAGTGGCAAGAGGATTTGATCCCATGTCTCTATTTCAAAGTCAAAGACTGGTTGTGCCTTTTTCTTAATGAAAAATTATCATAGAGCATGAATTGGGTCGATTCAGTTCTAATGCAGAGCCTGGAGCCTACCTTGAAGGGGTCAATTCCAAGGTTGATTTTAGCTTTGGCAGTCTGTTCTAGGATCTACCCATACAACCTATTCTTTCTTTACCCCAACTTATCATCATAATTTCAATTTTGTAAATATTAACCTTTACATTACTTATTATACAACATTTTAATTATACTAAAGAAAAATGATAAAATCACTTAGTTGACTTAATTAATGGTTAGGTGAGATCACAATCTTTTTGTAACAATAAGTACTTGTATTCACATCTTTACATCCTTAAAGTATTTTAGATTTTTTTTTTCAGGACAAATTCAGTTTCAAGATAAGTTCAACCAAGATTGATTCTTTGGATCGATTTGAATAAGATAAACCTTAAACCCTAAAACCAATTTGAAATCGGTTCCATTCCATTATGGGTAGAACCTACCCCTTTTTGCTCACTCCTATGGTTCAATACATACACAATCTATTTATTGTTTTAAATACATGCATGCCACTGGCGCCAATAAACAATGCATGGGAAATGAAGTGGAAACGCCCCCCCAGCAATTGGGGGAGACAACTTTTTGAAGCTTCCCCAATGCCCTCTATTTCTAATTTTATAGAATTCTTCTATAAATGGTAGTACAAACACTTGTTCTTTAATTTGTCCAGCCAAACAGGACTTGCATGAGCTAAAGCCAAGAAAACGCCTAGCTGGATTTTTTTTTTTACTTATTTCAAGTAAACAAAGAAACACAACGGAGCTATTCCAAACACCACCTCCAATCAAGGCTTAAAATCCTCTTTGACTCCTTCTCTCTCTCTCTCTCTCTCTCCCAGTCTGCGCGTCTGCTCCTTCAGTAGTCCTCCCGTTATATTTATCTACTAATCTCTCAAGTCTCCAAATTCTTCAGTTTCAAACATACCCACCCCAGTAACCAGCACATTTTCCTTCTTTTTTTTTTCTAATATATCAAGTCTCAACCGCTCAAGCAATACTTCTGCCTTCTGCAGAAGCAATTGAATGCCCATTATATATAGTATAATATATTAGATAGATTGGAATAAGAGGGAACAATCTCACAAAGTGAAGGAAAGAGAGAGAGGAAGAAATCATGGCGGGAGGAGGGACGACGTTGGAGTTCACGCCAACGTGGGTTGTCGCTTGTGTTTGTACTATTATCGTCGCCATTTCTCTTGCCGTCGAGCGGATCCTTCACTTCACTGGAAAGGCAAAGCCCCAACAAAGCTCTCGCGCTTCCCTATTTCGATTCTGTCTCAGAGACTCTGGTTTCTGTCCTTTTTAATGTTATTTCTGCTGGGGAAGGGATAATAATGACTTGAAATGCAAACAAACACAACCCCATTTGTGTCAGCTCAGTTTCAAGCCTGAAGCTCATTTGCTCTCCTTTTCCTTTCCTTTTGCAGTACTTGAAGAAGAAGAACCAGAAACCTCTCTTTGAAGCCTTGCAGAAAGTAAAAGAAGGTAATAGCTCTTCGTCTCTCTCTGCAATATAATGATAACTCAGATGTAAAGACTCGAAGCATGGACCACTAAAAAGAACTTGACAAACAAAATACCCATCAGAGGAAAATCTGGAATTTTAGCTTTATCAAATCATGGGTTTGGTGTGGTTGCAGAACTGATGCTTTTGGGGTTCATATCTCTTCTGCTGACGGTTTTTCAAGATAGAATTTCTAAATTCTGCATCTCCGAAAGTTTAGCTCACCATATGCTTCCATGTAAGCTGACGAGTGACAGTAAAACGTCATCCACCGCACATTATCAAAGTTTCTTCCTGCCCTTTGTCTCCGGGACTGGCAGGCGCCTCCTCGCCGAAGGATCCAATTCCGATTACTGCACGAAGAAGGTAAAACAATAACAGATTCTTAATGTCATTCAAGCTCAGTATTCTTGCCTTGAAGCTACTAATGAAATTTGCGAAGAAGAAAAATCTATACTCATGTCAGCCATCACAGTTCCATTCCTATGCATACTTGATTGTAAGACATTCGAGAAGGGTGGGGGCAGAAAGGGGAGAAATGTTTAGAATTCTGTGCCTGTTCTGTTGGAAATTCTCTAAGAGCAGTCAATTAAATTCCCCTTGACCTGTGATTTTAGAAGCCAATATGGTTGAACTGTTAATCTAATTCCACACTTGCAGTCCTCATTGCGAGAATGCCATCCATATTTTTTCCCTATGGTGCCAGTCATGATATGCCTTTTCCCTCCTTAGTGAATACATTTTTTGATGCTTGTCTGGTGTGCATATGTTTTGATTTTCCTTGTCTTTTCCCCAAAAATGTTGTTGAGGCCTTTATGCTTTCTCTTTGTGATTGTTTTTTCACATAGCCACACAGTGTTTTAACAATCATAGCTAACATTCAAATGAAACTTTTCATCAAAACCCCTTATTATGTCAGAACCAAAGGAACGGTTCAACCTTCAACATGTCCAGTCAATCAAGGAAAACTTGAGAATTTGTCTTTGAAAAATTATAGTATGATTCACAAGATGAGCACTGCAAGGCTGCTCAGGTTGCTTTTATATCATGGAGCTAGCAAATCATAAATTTCATATGGAAGATTGAAATGCAGATAGTCAACTAAGAAACTAACACCAAATATCTGCCTTGATATGTGTAAAGAGACAGTTGTTCATTTCCCCTCTTTGTTGTGTACGGTGCAAATGAGGTGTGAGAGTTTATCTTTTCCTTTCTTTCGATGGATAGAACATGTATACATTCTCTTACATGACTTTGCTTTGAATTTTTGATTTCTTGTCTGCTTTTCAAATAGTGTTTCCTATATTATAGGTATATAACTGAAGATTTTGTGTAAAATTGATTTACTTTCAGAACTTGGATGTCTGATTATCTTCTCATTTTCTTTTCAGGGTGAGGTCCCACTTTTATCTATCACTGCATTGCATCATCTTCACATCTTTATCTTTGTATTAGCAATTGTCCACGTGACTTTCTGTGCTCTTACCATTGTTTTTGGAGGAGCAAAGGTAATCAAGTTTAGAGTACTCTGTTTTTCTTTTTTGTTCATGTTCTTCATTGTTGGATATTGATTTCTCATCTGTGGTACAGATACGCCAATGGAAACATTGGGAGGACTCTATTTCAAACGATAAGTCTCATGAAGATGAGGGTAATGCTTAATGGTCAAAACTAGATTTTATCTTATGTTTTCTTTATTCTTTTCCTCCACTTTTCTCCTCCATAGAGCATTTTCAGTTGACACTAACCATTTATCATATACTGCTAAGAATCATGGAAAGAAACACATGGTTTTGCACTCCTCTAATATGAACCAGTACTTAGTGCAGTTGTGAAGTCAAAGGTCACTCATGTCCATGAACACGCGTTCATCAAGGATCATTTTCAGGGTATTGGAAAAGACTCAGCTTTTCTAGGTTGGGTGGTAAGTTACCATGTTATTTATGATAAAAGATGTTGACACATTTTATCAAATTGAAGCTTCAAATGAACCCAAAAGTTAATTCTTATCCTAGAGCTTCCTACTTTCTTATTATACATGAATGTGTACTGATTTGTGCAATTCATTGTAAATATTCATCTAACTGTGTGGTTCCCTGCTAGTGATGGGTGGAAAATATGACCAACTCTTGCTAGTCTAGCCCAACTTTAGGGCTGGGTTCATCTAGCCCTAGTAGCTTAAGAAACTTGATTGGGATGTTCCTCATCATATGGTATGCAGTACAAAAATTTATTTGTTCTATGCACTTTAGATTATCACTGGTAATTTTGTTTTAATCTATAACAAGAGTGCATGTTAGATTATGGTATAACGGAGCAAAATAAAACATGGAAAAGCCAACTTGAACTTCTGGAATCTGGACATGAATATCAATATTTGAATGTTGATAGCTCCAAAGTTGGATTAAAGCATTCTTCACTGTTATATAGGTCATCATGAAAAGAAGCAGATCTAATGATTGTAGATTAGTAGTGCATGTAGTTGCAAGAGCATAAAGAAATTTCATCTAGTCTATCTTCATTTGGAATGTTCAATCCAAAGATGTTTTAGTTCCTTTCTGTTATATGCAATGTAAAACCAAAAAAAAAAAAAGGGAAGTGGGGTTCCAGATTATTTACATCCAAATCCATGGAGTGTTAGAATCCATGGAGTGGCAAGTGTTTTATCCAAGTTTTCTGATACCTATAATTAAGTTATGGGTCACATATCTTGTCATTGATATCATTACATTTGCAGGTTCTTCTTGATCCTACCTTGTGTAATTTCTGAATTTGTCTTGAGAATATGTTATTATGGACTTTACTTATAATATCTATTATATCTAATGGGCAATTAACCATTGTTTGAATGCAATGTTTACTGTGCTTCATTCAGCATTCTTTTTTCAAGCAATTTTATGGATCGGTGACCAAATCAGATTACATCACACTGCGGTTGGGTTTCATTATGGTAGGCTCTAAGTTCCATGTGATGGTTAAATATCAAGATTTTATTTCTTTTTAGAAAAAAAATACTTTTTCATTTCCCCCTTTCTAATTTGAATTATTTCTGTTTCAGACTCATTGCAGGGGGAACCCACGGTTTAATTTTCACAAGTACATGATTCGTGCCCTTGAAGCTGATTTTAAAAGAGTTGTTGGCATAAGGTAACTGATATCTTGGACTGGGATGATTTGCTAAAGGCTGAAATTGCAGTTATAGTTGTATTTGTTAATTTGCATATTAAAATTTTCTTTTAAATCTTTAGGTGAAAGTTCTTCCCTGGCTCAAAACCCCTTCATTTTCTTGTTTGCTTATATAGTTCTAACCATTCTCATTTATTTCACTGCAGTTGGTATCTTTGGTTATTTGTGGTCATTTTTTTATTGCTGAATGTTGATGGTAAGATACACTCTTTAAGTTCGTGATGGCAATTCCAATTTTTCATATGCAGTATACAGTCAATTGTATTTCCCTTTTTATCCTTTTTTTTCATTTAATACCTTTTGAGCTCCTATGACAACTTTCATGGAGATTCTTTGTAGTCCAATGTCTAATACAGTGTTTTAAAAAACAACCCAGGAACAGAACCATTTTTGGCTTTGTGTCAACGGTTCAATAGTCTGGGTCAAATGGGTCAGCCCATAATGCCATAAAGCAGGTAATAGATAAAAATGTATAGAAAAAGAAAATTACAGAAATTCACAAAAAAAAGTTGGGCATATCTCTAATATTATATATTTATCATATAGAACAAAATTAAGTGTGATAAATATTACTATTAGTGATGAAAATGGCTAGAAATACCAAAAAACAGAATAAAAAATTAATGTCTAACTCATGACTTGCTGACTTGGTCAAACGGGTAAGCAATTCAACTGGCCAGGTCACCAAGTCAATGTTTGTTTTTGCCAGAAAATGGTAATAGGGTGAAAGAGACTGGGAAACATGATGTGACCAGGTCATAGGTCAGCCAGTTCAACCATGGATTGAAAAACATTGGTCTAATCTAATAAAATGTGTAGATACTCTTGGATGTGGATTGCAGTTGATTTTGTTTCTCAACTCGAATGGGGGAAGTGGCATAAATTCTACAATTTTATAACTTGAATTTTTTTATAGTAATGAAGATCCATTAAGAGAAAATAAGATATAAAAAGTACATTTAAGGTTGCAAGAGATCACCAAGTTGAAAGAGAGATATAGACAAGAAAAAGCTACCCCACCCATGGTTCAAAGTATTGATACACTTTGATACAGGGGTGTACGAGTGTACCAATACTTTGAACCTTGTGCTTCTTTTTTTTTCAAAATTTCACAGGGGGACATTTTTATGTTATTTACTTATTAAAATAGGCATGCCATTGATCAAAAGATATGATACAATATGCCCGATGCGTGGTGTATCATATCAATACTTTGAACCTTGCCCCTACCAACAAAATGCCCAATACCCACCGAGATAATAGTAAGAAAATAATAGACATCAAATCTCCTCCCCTGATCAACCTCTTAGCTAAACCAAAAAAACTTTGTAACACGACTCTCCAAACCAGACATTGCACACTACTTCAAAAAATTATATTGAACCTGAAAATCTCGCAATATCATATTCCTCTTTCAAGTTTCAAATATCAATTTCGGAAACATCCAAACAAAACAAATCCTCATGAACTCTTACAAACTCCCAACTGCATGCTCTTTCACCCCCCCTTCGAAAACCTCAAACAACCCAGTGAAACTTAATTTTGGGCTACATAAAGGAATTTGTAGGAGCAAATTTAGAACTTTTACTCCTTTTCCTCTCTTCTAATTCCCTAAGCACTTTTTCTATCATGTTCTTCCCCTCCCAAGGAGAACAAACATAATTTTTTGCCTATCTCAACTTCTTTATTTATCACATTATTAAAATCTACCATCTCATTAACCTTGTAAACTTCATCCACTAGGACAACATCTTCTCCTGCCACTTCCTATGCTATTCCCTCTAATTGATTTTCATTTTCATCATCAGAACCTGCCAATGACTCATCCGATTTTCTGCAATTGGCCGTGTTCTATTACTTGGACTTCTGAGAATCCTTTACCAATACTGAGCTCTTGATATTCTCCCTAGAAGGATCTGAAAGACCAGCAGAAGCAGGCATAACCATTTTTTGCCTAATATTAATATCATTCTGTAAAACCATCTCTCTTATTACTCTTCACCAGAATTGATTTGCAACCAGTATTAATATCTAAATTATTATTCTTAGAAGAAATCATCAGCTCTTTAAACATGTTCCCTGAATCTTTTCCAGTGTGATAAATCCTTTCTAGCCTTCCTTTTGTTGACCTCCTAAATTTATTAGGACCAACCCCTAAAATACCACCTTTTAGATGGGAAAAGACTTTTGATATATGAACCAACCTTCAGTTCTGCTGTCTCATGGTTCATCTGAAAGCAGAATTATTCTTACTGGACAATGGAATTATCATCTTGCTAACTTCAGGTTCCAAAAGGAACTCCTTCCCATTGCACCTTCTTCTACCCAAATCGACCCCCAGCATATTCCATCAGAAATTTTACAAAAGCCTCTGGGCTAATATGCACTGTCCCAGGAACTCCCTAAACATCATCTTCCCCTTCTAAACAACTAGTTGAATAATCAAGTAATTAACCTTCTTGGTATTAATGCCGTCTAACTTTGCTGAGTCAGAACCATCCAGAAGGAAAGCATTTTTATTGGAGCAAACTTTGTCATCAACGAGAGCCATATCTCACACCACACCTTTATCTGAGCCAAGTTAGCTCCAGCCACCTCTTTTTGGGTTTCAAACACCCAATAGAATGCTTAATAGACGGTTTTTCTTCTTCCTTGAATATCTTTTAGCCTCTTCTTCCTTGCTGTCATTTTTCTTTGTGGCATCTGTAGATATATTTCGGAAGTTGGATACAGGATCAACACCCTCCTCCTTTTGCCTTTCATATCTAATTTTATTGTCAAGGGAGTATCAGTTACTTCAAATATGCTGTGTTATAATTTCATGAACCTGCTTTTGAACTCATGCTATGAACTGCTGCTTCTGTTCCTGATCACTTGCTGAAGATAATAGCTTCTAAAGGATGCTGTATTCTTATTCACATGTGCAGGTTGGCATACATACTTTTGGATAGCATTCATTCCATTTATTGTAAGTGGACATGGCATAACCCCTTTTTCTAGTTTATCTTATACTTGTAGTACCCCTTTATGCATGCTGATTTTTTTGAGAGAATATAAAGTAATATTTTATATTATCACTATACTGTGAGCTCAAATTACAAGTATATCATATATGCAGCATGTACAACCAGGAACTATAGATCGGATTTCAAGTGAGGCCCCCAAAAATGAGCTTTACCAAACATAAGATGCTAAAAAAAAAGTATAAAAACTGAAAACTTATCTGACTAGCCGAAAAGATTGCTATTGTCAAAAAACTGACAGTAAGGAATTCTTCTGAAGAGACCATGACAGATAACCAGGAGTTAATAGAAGTAAACTTGTTGGACCACCTTGTCCAGACCCCACCTCTTCCCTTCAAAAATTCATCCATTCCTTCCACAACCCCCAACAAATTGCATAGGGAACTGTACTCCACAAAAACCCCTTATGCATGCAAATTAAATTCATATCAGTGCTTAATCTGAAATTCTGCATGAATAACTTTTTTTTTTCTTGACAAAATGATAAGAGATATTATATTAAAAGATGAAAAGCATTCCTCAAAACATAGATGCAACATGCATGTATAACCTCAGAGAACAGCAACAAAGAAAAACCAGCACCTCACTAGAACCTCATTATATCAAAACAGAAAAATTGTCATCCCATGAATAAACTGTTAAGTTACATTTGATTCTGGTAGTCAAAAAATTTTGCATTTTTTCTTGTTATTGTGGCTAGAATCCAATAGGTTTTGTCTGCACGCATGCATGAATTTCATGGCTTTTCCCTTTTAATTTCTAACTGAATTTGAACCTGCACAAACCAAATTATGGACATTTATTAGTCTTATTCATAAGATTCATTTGCACCAATTCTAGCAACTAGTTTCTTGCTTTGCTCTTCCTTGTACACCACACATGCATCTGCCTTTGGTAGCATAGCATTCAAGAACATCATTGGGATCATTAGTTATTTAATTTCCCTTTCCTGTCTGCCTTCCTGCTACTGCCTTAGCCTTTTACCGGGATATTTTTATTATAAGAACACCATTCTCCAAAATCGATAAAAAGAATAAAAACCATTAACCAGATTTAGGAATTTACTGTGTAACTTTACATTTTGGAGGAATGCCCACTTCTGCTTTTCACCTTTAGATATCTAACAGCAGGGTAACCTAATAAAAAAAGCCATTATCTGATGTTGGTCCAGCTATCTGGGGTCTTCTGACTTTGTGGGTGGTGGACTGGGTATGGACCTTTTTTGGTAAAAGGATACAGACCTAAGCTTTGATATTTTTTGTACGAAGTGGCTGCTGCCTAACTCAAGCTCACATTCCAATGGTTGTCAGCCTGAGGTTTTACCATTAGACCAATTAGTGCCCCTAACATTGTGTAACTGGGTTTTGGTCAATTTAGGAAGAGAGGGACAACAGAATATTCCATGATAAAAGGAGAACAAAGAGGTGAGGAAAGAGAAAAAAGAGGAGCAAGAAAGAAGACCAAGGGAGAAGCAGCCCAAATACAGAATCAAAACAAGAAGAATTGAGAGAGAATACAAGAATCAAGGGAAGCTGTAAATCACTACAATTATGTCGGAATTGTGGAGAAAGATTGCACATTCCATTGGCTTCTATGTGGAATGTGACTCCTTTTCTCCTCCAAAAGTTTGGAGTGGACAAAATCCAAGATTTGATCACTATGCGTAGGTTTGCTAGAGAGAAAAGGATAAAGTGATTCTTAATGCCCCCTTTAGCATGCCCCCTTTATTCCATTATTAATGAAATCTGTGGTACCCAGTGATTGAGAGATTTACAAAGAGACTTGCGAATTGGAAGAGAAATTACATTTGTTTGGGAGGTAGGATAACCTTGATAAAGTCGATGTTGGCTAACTTACCAGTGGATTTCCTATCTACCTTTAGGATACCGGTGAAAGTAGCAAACCAGGTAGAGAAGATTATGAGGGACTTCCTTTGGGAATCAGGAGACACCAAAAGAGACCACCTAGTGAAGTGGGAGGTGGTTTTTAGAAGTAGAGATGAAGGGGGACTAGGAACAGGAAATCTTAGGCTAAGAAATACAGCATTATTGGGGAAATGGTTGTGGAGATTGCCTTTGGAACAGGATAGACTTTGGCATAGAGTGATTATTAGCATTCATGGATTGGCAAACAATGGTTGGGATGCAGGAGTTGACCCAAGGTTTTCCCGGTGCTCTCCCTGGAAATCTATTCATGGTATTTTACCTTCATTCCTTCCTTATGTCAAATTTGATGCTTGTGCAGGAAATAAGGTCTTATTTTGGGAAGATGCTTGGGTTGGAGACACTCCCCTTAATGAAAGGTTCCCTTTTATTTATTCACTATCTGAAAATAAAAGAAAAGTGATCTCTTCGGCCTTTACTGATAACTCTTGGGACTTGGGTTTGAGGAGAGGCCTAAGGGAGTCGGAAATGACAATGGTTGATGAATTAATTAAACTTCTAGGGTCAACTTACCTAGATCAATCTTGTGTGGATAGTAGAATTTGGAAACCTTCCCCTTCTGGTGTGTTCACTTGCTCTTCCTTTTTTGATATCCTCATTCAATCACCAAACCCTGTAAGGAGCTTTCCTTCAAAGGAGATTTGGTGTCAGCCTGTACCCCTAAAAGTTCAGGCTTTTTGTTGGGAGGTGGTTATCCAAAAAATCAATACTCTAGATTTGTTGCAAAGAAAAAGGCCAAATGTTTGCCTATCACCCCATGTTTGTAGCCTCTGCTTGGGATCTGGTGAGACGATCACACACCTATTGATTTCTTGTCCATTTGTATGCTTTATTTGGACTTGGTTCTCTTCTATCTTTGGTTGTAGGTGGACACCTCCCCCAGATGTGGCAAGCCTTTTTGACCCAAGCTTTTTCAGGCAACCAAAGAGGCGTGGAAGATTAATGTGGAGAGCCACGAGCAACTATCTTATGGTCAGTTTGGGAAGAAAGGAATAATAGAATCTTTAAAGGCATGGAGAAGTCCAAGGAGGCAATTGTAGAAAGGATAATTATTATGACTATTCATCGGTTGAAAACTTTGGATTTGTTTAAAGACTTCTCAGCTGAAGACATTTACAGGAATTGGGAAGTGGTAGCTTCTACAACTTCCATGAAACCTATTGTGCAAGAATTGTGGTCCCCACCAACACAACAAAGAGAAATTGATTTTTGATGGGAGTTCAAGAGGTAACCCGGGCCCTTCAGGTATAGGAGGAACTTTCAGAGATGAAAATGGCAGAATTGTGGCTTTGTTTTCAGGACCAATAGGAGTGGGGGACTCATTGAGAGCGGAGGTGATGGCCTTGCTTCAAGGTGTAAGATATGCAAAACAGTTGGGGTTACACCAAATTGAGATTGAGGGAGACTCTAAATTGTTGATCGACTGGCTACAATCTGGTAAGTTGGGAGCCTGAATTTATAGACAACCCATAAGGGAAATCCACAATACACAAGGGAGATCGGTGCATGCTTCAAATGGACAAGGAGATCAGCTAATTGTTTAGCTGACACGTTGGCTAAACAAGGGACTGTGAGGGAGAGTATGTTCTGGGCAGTTTTGTAAGAAAGATAAATGGGGCTCAACACCTACTTAGGGGTTGACAGCTGTACTTAAATCTGGAAAGTTATTTAATGATGTTACCGTTTCCAATAAAAAAAAATCTGTGGTTATTGATCAAAAACAAAAAAAAAGCCCCCTTTAGCATGCTCATCTTTAAACCAAATCCCATCTTTGCTGAAGAGTTGAAGATCTCATTCCTTTGTCTCCTCCACAAGATGGATGCAGGGAAGAATTTTGAGTTGCTTTGCTAGAGAGAAAAGGATGTTAAAATGATTCTTAGTGCCTCCTTCAACATCCTCATCTTTAAACCAAGTCCCATCTTTTCCGAAGAGCCTGAAGGTCTCATTCCTTTGTCTCCTCCACAGGATAGATGCAGGGAAGAATTTTGAGTTGCTTTCCCTTCAATGTGGCCATAGAATTCCAGATTTCTATGCCCTATCCCCAATACTTCTCTTTTACTATTTTGTTCTCAATTGATAACTCAACTTAAATGCCCATGATTTGACTTTTAGGTTTTCTGCATTTTTTAAGGTGTTTTATTAAATTATTTTTTTTGAAAGTTAAAAAGAAAATTTTATTAAAAATAAAAGACCAGGTCAAATATAAGCACCTTCTAGGTGTTAAGATAACACCTGTCCAACATACAGCAAAAACAAGATCAAGAGCACAAAAATATGAGGGTACAAAGTGAAGCCCCCGAACACAGCATCTTAACCATCTTCTTCAAACAGATCATCTTGCTCAACTCAATCCTTCTCCCATACCACCGATTTCTCTCCCTTAACCCCCTAACATTCCAACTCATCAGATTCATCCTCATCCCTCCTCTCAACTTGGCTACATTTCGAAACACTGCAATCACCCTTCTGCCTAGACTTGGTCCTCCTTCCCTCTGCCCCCTCTTGACTTGGTTACATTTCAAAACACTATAATCACTCTTCTACTGTGGCTTGGTCCTCCTCCCCCCTCTTGACTTGGCTTCATTTCAAAACGTTGCAATCACTCTTTTGCTTTGACTTGGACCTCCTCCCCCTCCCCCCCAGCTACAATTCAAAACATTGTAAATAGAACTCTTCCACTGTGGCTTGGACCCCCCCTCCCTCTCGACTTGGCTGTGATTAGGGCTGTTCATGGGTCGGGTTGGGTCGGTTTACTAGCGTTTTTCCAACCGACCCGACCTGGTCGGTTTACCTAGAAATGAAACCGAAACCGACCCAGTACTAAGTAAAACCGACCTGGTCGGTTTGAATCGGTTTGGGTCGGTTTTGTGAATGATTCTCTCAGTGTGAACGGTAAAGGATTCAAGTCTAAGAAAGCAAAGGCTGGATGCCTGGAAATTAAAAATGATTTGATGGATTAAAACTGATATTTTATATATAATATGTATATTTCTGAAATAAAGCTGAAATATATATATATATTATATCCACAAATATATATCTGAAATATATATAGTAAAACTGAATATATATATATATATATATCTAAGTCGGTTCGGGTTGGTGATGAAGAAAAACCGGTTTATGTTTTTTTGTAACCCGAAACCGACCAGTGATGAAGAAAAACCGGCCAACTCGGGTTGGATCGGACCGGGTTGATCGGTTTGGGTCTTGTTATGAACAGCCCTAGCTGTGATTCCAAACATTGCAATCACTCTTCTGCTGTGGCTTGGTCCTCCTCCCCCCCTCTTCATTCCAGCTTTTTTCTTTTTTTCTTTCTTCTCATTTTTTGCTTCTCCCTCCTTTTTTATTTTTTTTTGTTCAAATTGTTCAAAAGCAATTCTGGCGAAACGTTCCCCCCCAAGAAAAAGAGCTCTAGAGATTTCCCTACTATAACCTCTCGGTCAACTATCTTACTCAGCTCCAACTTCCTTTTTTCTATTACCTCATCCCTTCCTTTCTCAGGTTCCCCCTCTGCTTCCTTTTCTCCAACCGCCTCTCCTGAACCTACAGTTTCAAACCCTGTCTCTGCTAACAGCTCCTTCTGCCTCACCCGTCTCCTGGCCTAACCCTGAGATCCTCCTATTATAAACCTTATTTTGCAAACTACTGTCCTCTGTTTCCCCCTGCTGCTTCCTCTTCCTCTCACTTGTATTTTATTAAATTATGCTGAAGCTATACAATGGAATCCGTTAACAAATAATATAGGAGACTCTACATTCTAAGAACAACCCTCAAAGCCACAGAAGAAGAGTGATTTGCAATGTTTTGAATTGCAAATAGCCCAAATCACCTCCATGGTAACACCTTCCATCTTTTTTTATTAAATTAGAATGTGTGATAAGTTCCAAAACCTTTCATTTCAAACACATCACATTGGGCCCAGTAGCCTTGAATGCACCACACTTTTTGTGGCCACATTAGCCTAGAACCTACCATTTCAAATAGAATCTATACTCCATGATTTGGTGCCTTCGTTTCATTTGGCCTCCTTGCTTTATTAGTCTAACTGGTGATGGTATTAACCCAGGCTTCTCAAATCATTCCATTTGCATGATCTTTTGTTCTTTTCTCAGTCCCTTTAATGGCCTTTAGGTGAAGGGGACAATTTCCATTATTGATGATTCTAGAACAAAATGAGATAATGCAATATTTCATTTTGTACTCCCATCTGACAGCAATTCCATCTGCCAAGAGTCCTAACTGCAGTAGAGAGTGAGAGTCATTGCATCAGAGCCTAAGATCATTTTTCACATACTAAGTGATTCCCTTGGGTGATTCTATTTTCACGTCAAATTTGTGCTTGGAAAGGAGGCTTTTTGTTCCAGGATTTTGATATCTAACCCATATTTTGCATCTTGTGTATACTGAATGACATCTCTAAACTGCAGATTTAGAAACTTTGTAGGATAGGGAACCTACCAAGGGGACTTCTGTTCTGTTCCGTATACTATCTTTTTTGGTGGGGTTGTTTAACTCTTACATATGCATAATGTTCTTTGACCTGTGGGCAGTGAAAAATTACTGAATAAGTTGGGGTGAGGAGATTGCATTTTCAACCGTTTGGGGAGGGGGTCCAAGGTTTCAAGATCTCAACAAAGGTACTGAAAAATGGATCTAAAGAAGGGGTGAAGGGAGCAAGGATTGAAGAGATCACCAGAAACTATTCTTGGTGGTACGTCAAATGTTTGCAAATGGTAGCAACTTGCAACAATCCTTAGTTTAACTTCTGGGAGCATGTTTGGGTGGGCAGTGAATCACTAAGGACACAATTCCCTTCTCTTTATGTCCTTTCCAACCGTAGGGAGGAACCCTTTTTTGCTTTGACTCCGTCTAATCAAAATGTTGGGTTTAGTTGGGATTTGAGTTTCAGAAGAGGGCTTGATGGCTTTGAAATGAATAATGTCGTTATCTTGCTGCAAAACTTGGAAGGGGTGTGTCTGGAAGTTGGTAAAAGGGATAGGAGAATTTGGACCGCTTCTCTTGTGTCTCTTTTTTCTTAGCCCTTATTCAACTGAGCTAAAGCCAGAGGTCTTCCTTTCCCTCTAGGGAGATTTGGAGTAGTCCTATTCTGTCAAGGGTGGGTGGTCTGTATTGGGAAATGTATTTGGAAAAAAATTAATACTTGTGAGCTACTGCAAAGAAAAAGACCTAGTTGGTGTCTATCCCCACACCAGTGCTCCCTTTGCAAAGCTAATGGTGAGAATTGTTATCACTTATTAAGAATGCTATGGAGAGGGGAAGAATGCTCTAGGGCCTATTTGTTTGGGTGTAGGTGGAATCCTCTACCTAATGTACCAAGCCTATTTGCTTCTACTCTCCTAAGCTGGTCAAAGAAGAGGGGAAGAATGCTATGGAGATGCACCAGGGCAGTGGTGTGTTGGACAATTTGGGAGGAGAGGAACCAAAGAATATTTCTTGAAAAAGAACGAAGCAGATGAGCTACCATCGAAGATATTACCATTAAGATAGTTCACTGGGTTAAGTCACTGAATCTTTTTAAGGATGCTCCCAGCATTGCGGTGATGAGAAAGTGGAAAGAGGTAGCTGATACTGCTCCAGATAAGGAAGTGGTCAGGCCTTTTTGGTCTCCACCCACTAGAGAGGTTTTATTAAGCTCAACTTTGACGGTAGCAGTGAAGGCAATCCAAGTCCATTTGGCATAGGTGGAGTGTTCAGGAATGAGGGCAAAAATATTATTACACTATACTTGGGTCTAATTGGAGTTGTGGACTTGTTAAGGGCTGAATTCATTGCTGTTATGGAAGGGATTCAAAAGGCTAAAGAGCTGAATATCAAAAAGTTGTTAATTGAAGGTGATTTCATGCTTGTAATTAGCTGGCTCCAAAAAGAGGAGGATGGTTGGTGATGTTACATATATGAGAAGAGGAAAGCTGTTAAATTGCTACAAGGGGTAGAGGTGATTTGTAATTGGATCAGAAGAGATGTTAATGCCTTTGCTGATTCGTTTGCTAAACAATGGATGGGAAGGAATAATTTATTTTGGGCTGTGTTGTAAGTTTATTTTCTGTTGGGGAGAGGGCTAGGAGTTTTTATCCCTTCCCTTTCTTTGTACTCAAGTTATTCCTTTCAGGGTAAATTTGCACTCTGGTTCACTTTTGCCTGTGTTTGGCAACATAACATTTATGCATTGACAAATGACAGAAAACACATTTTCCAATGCATATTTACATTGATAATAAGATGTAAAATTACATCAATAAAAAAGAAGTAAATTTGCATACAAGTGGGCTTTTGATAAAAAAGGCATATGCTTTATTGGGATTCATGTTTGCATCCATTACAGCTAAAAGTCTGTTTGGTAAGAAGGTAAATTTGTCAGTGCAAAACTAACCCAACTTTGCAATTTATATGAACCATTTTACACACTACATATTTGCATCCACACTTATTTGCATCGTTTCCAAATGCAACCATAAGGAAATTGATTCTGTTATTGATAAAAAAAGGCAAAGAGACTTGTTTCACTGTCTTCTTTCTTAATTTATTAGGTATTTTGGAGCATGATTTCATACATTATATATATGGTATATCATGCAAAAATGCATCAACCTGTCATTTATGTGATTAGCTGGTAAATTTGCTTAGGCATGCCAAAATATGGGTTAAAAATCTTAGCATTTCTATGATCTGTTTCTGCAGCTTTTACTTGCTGTGGGCACGAAGCTGGAGCATGTGATAGCCCAGTTGGCACATGAGGTTGCTGAGAAACATGTAGCAGTAGAAGGAGAATTGATTGTTCAACCATCAGATGATCACTTCTGGTTCCATCGGCCCCAGATTGTTCTGTTTTTAATTCATATAATTCTCTTCCAGAATGCCTTTGAGATTGCATTTTTCTTCTGGATATGGGTAAGCAATTCTAAGAACTTTCATGGTATCTTTGTTAATTGTGAATTTGAGATGTATAAAAACTAATTCTTCCATCAATTGTAGGTTCAATATGGCTTTGACTCCTGCATCATGGGACAAGTCTGCTACATTATCCCGAGACTGGTTATAGGGTAAAGTTATCTCCTTTGTTCCTTTGCATTTCTAACCCAATCATGTGGGTCTCTATGGTTGAGAATAAATGGCACTGGATCTATATAATTTTTTTAGAAGTGGTTGATTTAGAATACATGGATGCACTGAGTCTAATATATTTGGCTATGATGCCATTTTGCGTTATTTTCTTTAGGGTGTTCATCCAGATATTATGCAGTTACAGCACGCTGCCACTTTATGCCATTGTCACTCAGGTAAGTTGCAGTTGCACTTAAATTCATCTTATTTGACTGAAAGTTCCAGACTAACACCAACTTTTTTCCCCTGAAGATGGGAAGTTCATTTAAAAAGAGTATATTTGATGAGCATGTGCAAGAAGGCCTAGTTGGCTGGGCTCGTAATGCAAAAAAGAAAATGGGTGCAAAAGCAGGTGCTAAAGGCTCTATTGCGGGAATCCAGTTGGGGGAGAAGGTAAGGCAGAGAGAATCTGCAATGGAAGAAGGGAAGGCAGTGATTGAGTCCTCAAGTATCTCAGAGTCAGAAGGGCCCAAATGAAACAGCCCCATCAGCAGCAGACACAGAACATGTCACAAGAGTTGGTTCCCTAATCTCAATCTACTGTAGTTTTTCAGGTCAAATAGAGGGTTCTTTAGTTCAGACAAGCCCCATAGCTTGTAGCTTCTCTCTATATAATATATTTTCTTCCATAAATACAAATGATTTATGTAACATATTTTGAACATCTAAGCTATTGAAAGCAAATATCTGATTGCAGTAGTGTTATCTAGTTCAGATATCGTGATTTAAATAAATTTTCATTATCACGATGCACAATATGCATGCTGGGCCCGACTATGGCATCTGGAAAACGAATCGGGATCTGCTCCTCACACCGACCTCACAGCCACATCCCACTGTGTATTGATAACATCTCATGAAAATAAATATAAGTGGGAGAGATGTTCCCGATGTGGGGCCAGGACAGGCTGTGAGGAGCAGATCCGGATTCCTATAAAACTGATAACTGATAACCAATCAACTGGTTTTCATTCAAATTCATCAGGAAACAGAAAGCATGCAATTTCAAAACCCAATGTTGGTCCTTGCTATATAAGCAAATATGGATTCAATTTTCAAAACCAAAGGAAATGTGTACCCAGGCAGACAATAAAAAATCCACAAATTGAAATATGATATTGATGCTGTCTGTGCTGAGGTAGAAGAGCAGCAGATGAATTTGTATGGACTGAGCTGGGTGCGATTACTTGATAGAAGATCAGAAGCCCTGATGTGGTTCTGACTTCTGAGGAAGAGCACTCCAACAGTCCAGTCAGTAAGCAGATGAGTAACGAGTTGGTCAGCTAAGCCTAACTAATTAAGACGAGCTGGTCCTAGCCGAACAAGTGAGTTTAGAAAACAAGACAGCTAGAATGCTAGAGTGTTGGGGACTATACCTTGGGTGGTGTGCTCTTAAATACTTGTTGGGGAATGTCGTGTGCCTCGTGAGCGCAACAGGTGTTGGCCTTTGAGGCGGCCAATGGTCGAGTTATTAGGGATGTGAGCCAGCAGATGCCATGGGACGAGGAATTCGGGGGGCAGTGTTCATCAACATTAGCCTCTAGGGCCAATGGGAGTGCACCACATCAGCATGGTCTTGCTGGTCCAAATTGGGGACATGTGTCGGCTCTGTGCATTCTTCTCATTGATCCACGTGCCGGGAAACCTGGGCCCGATTTTCACCCTCATCAAGAATGTAGTGAGATGTATATACTATTTTATGAGGGTTTATCCAACTTCAAATTCAATCTGGTTAGATCCAAATTGGGCCCCTTGTAATCAGATCAAAGTATGGACCCACCCTTCTCTCACGTAGATTGCTGGGTCTGGACTCTGGACACCTAAAAAGTATACTCGCGTCTGGTATTCCAAGTATCAAAACCCAACAAATTGAAAAGGCCCCCCAATAAGATAGACATTAGCTTAGATAAATAAGGAGACTAGTCAGATGATTTGTTACCTTCATTACTTATGTGCATTCACTTTGGAATTTATAGTAAAATCTTTTCCACGTCCAGATAATTCCAATAGAATCCCAAGGTTGCAATCATCAGACCACACACGACCTTGGCCCACTTAATTTTCTAGGTGGGACCCGCCCAGTGGCTTGGACATTGGACTTGGCTCCAGACCCAAACCCTTCTGCATGCGCTGTCCCCAAACTCAAAAGTAATGGGAGTTGAGTTTTGATTTTTCACGAGTAGGTGCAAGTGCAGTAAGAACAGCATACAACCAGAAGATTTGTACTCGTTCAAAATTCAAATCCCCTCCTTTAGCTCCTCATATATACATTGCAGATATGCATCCCATACTTTGGGTTCGGGTGTATACTCACTTTAGAGCCTGAGCTTGTCACTTTAGCACCTCATATTCATTTCACTCCAACTCCATTAAACCAACATTATGACAAGGTGTATAATTATTAAAATACCCATGTTCTCTTTTTTTTTTCTCTATTCATCTCCATTGGATGCAAACCAGACCAGTGGTAGCGAAGTGTCCAAAAGTGAAACTACCCCCAATGAATAAACCAGGGTGAACTTTATCACCTGGTTTGCGTCTTAAGTCTAAAGGTAGGAGATGAATAGATAGAAATGAGAATGAGAATCAGAATAGGGACATCTTCATAATTTTACCTCAAGTAGTGTTACTATTATATATATATATATATATAATGAGAATACCTCCAAAGTACGAATTCACATCTACCCCCACAGAAAGCGCCCTAAAAACGTCCCACAGCACATCCTATTGGGAACATCTCCCAATGACAAATACAGGAAATGTTCTCAATGCACGCTGAGATGTGCATGTGGGGCGTTTTTGGGGAGCGTTCTGTGGGGGGCAGATGTCAACTCCCAAAGTACAGGATACCCATCTGCAATTTACCCTAAAAAAAGGAATTTCCTTCGGGACCTTTGCCATTTGGAGAACAACCTTACAAAGGCTGACTATTACTTATACTGGGAGTTCTAAAACAAACTCCTTTACGTTCCATGTTGACAGCCTGAAGTAAAATGAATCTCCCCCATCAATCCATCATTGTCCCCCACTGTACCAGTCTTGGCTTGGGCCATCTTATTCTGCACCGCTGTTTCACCAATGCATCAGGCGAACATGGGCCGAAATTGTAACAAATGCACACCCATATTTCCGCATCAGGACATGCCCAACAAATGCCAGTAATCACAGAAATATACTATGTTATTAAGTTTGACGATGATCTATATTGCAAAGAATAAAATATAACTTAATCGCCATGTCAGTTCTGCACAATCCCCACAAAGACGATCTTTATAATAATCACATTAGAAACATTGCCACTTGAGCCGAAGATTAATATAATTCATCATTCTTCAGCAGCACTGGCAGAACTTAAATCCACACTTAGGTCCAAAACCTGTTTACAAGCAAATCCTGTTAGTTGCATGTACTGAGACAGCGTAAGCTATTTTCAATTAATAAAGCATGAACATAGTTATTCTCACACATACACACACACACAAATAACAATAAAACAAAACAAACAAAACAAGAAACAAGCTCCCTTGTGTAAAATTCCTATCAGTCTATACTCTTTACTTTTGATTTGGGAATGCAGCAGGGTGCTATAAACTCAGCTAGAGGGTTGATAGGGTTAAAACATAGAAGGGTGCATGTAGGGTGTCAATGGACCGGTTTTGGATTGGACCCTCTCCAAATCAAAATCAATTTGGAAGGATTGGACGGACCAATAAGACATTAAATTGGACCAGTCCAGACTCAAATGGTCCAAAGTATTTATCGGAATGGATTGGACCTGATCCATCTATAATGGATTTATATTGGATTGGGTTGGATTGTACCAATATCCGGTCCATTGATAGAAGAATACAGGTGTCAATAGACCATGTTTGGGTTCGAACCAATCTAAATTAAAACCAATTTGAACAGATTGGATGGTCCAGACATTGAATTGGACTGGTCCAAAATTGTCCAGAGTATTCATCAGATTGGATTGGACCTAGTCCATATGTAATGGGCTCATATTAGAGCGGATCTGATTGGACCAAATCCAGTCCAACTGACAGCCTTAGATGCATGCAGGGACCACTGGCATAACACGGAGAGCCTTCCGTTCAGTGGATTTGAACCTGTGCCTCCTCAAAATGATGCCAAGTGACCAACTCAACTATGGGATCTTTATCTTTGACATGGTTCCCATGCTCATAGGTCATCTATTTTTCCTCTTTAAACAACTCAAAGTGGATGGACCAAGGAATATTCAGTGTTTGGTCAACTCAACTAGCTACTACTCTGTTTCAGGTCTTGTACATCAAGTCACTCCAAAAAAACTAGACTACTATGGATGGACCGAGGAGTCATTACTTTAACAGAAACTTGTCATTAAAATTCTTACCTTCCCAGTAATCATGGTATACATGTTGAGTACATCCATGACAGTCGACTCAAAATGTGTTGTTGCATCATAACTCTGTTGGAAGAAAAAAAGCAAAGGGGGTAAAATCAAAGTTCATTGCAAAACACTTTTCTTATAGGTAGACATTGCAAGATACTCACAGTTGATATAAAACAATTGTCCAAAGAAGGTTCATTGACAGGTTCATATCTATCATAAACATCAAAGAAGATCTCATCAATAGGTCCTAGAAGGTCAATTCCTGGCTTTAGTTCAACCTCAGGCTGGTTGGTTTCTGCTTCTGTTGTGACAAATGCAATGAATTTACCCTTTGGAGCGACATTGTGTGCATAAGAAGAACAGAAAAGGTACCTGTTCAACCATAGAGGCATTTAAAATTTTGGAATCACAATGGAAACTGGTATTTCAAGTGCAGAGTGCAACAATCTTGATTTCATAGAAAGGATTATGCAGCTTATTAATTATGATGAGGAAAGCTATTCTCATATTTTTCTGTCCCTATTGTTATACATGGGAAATAAGGGGTTTCATGGTAATAAGCATCTTTAATACACACTATGAACTGATGCCATGGTGCATGATAGCCATAAGATTCCCAAGTGACATGTTTTGCAGGTGCTAGTGGTAGAGTCAAGAGGGCTTGTGGAAGATGAGACTTGTGAAACTAGCATTCCCCAACACGATTTAGTGAGCTGTCCTGCTTCAGAGGCACTTAGGATGTCTCTCCCTCTCTTTTTTTTTTTTTGGTATTGGGAAAAAGTCTCAAGGTATAGCCAATATGCCCCCGAGGCTTGAGCAAAGCATACTTCTGACATGATTGGCATGCTCTTCTCATGCCTGAAGTTGGAGGCCTCTGCTTCATATGGATGGCAATGTAACTTTAAGAAAAGATTTTTAAAACTTTTTTTTGTTAACCTAATCTGAAGGCAAATGGGGCTTACACAAAAATTTCCATGGTTTGTCTAATAAACGATACAAGAATCAATTATTATACAGTATTATTTATTCATTAGGAGCAATTGTCCGATCGAACTTTGGAGTGTTGTGTCGGATACACCTTTGTATCTATTTTACCAGTAGATATGTTAGTATCACAGCTTAAAGATCCACATTGTCAATTACAACACCTAACAGCATAATGTGGCACCAAAAAAAAAAATCAGAACCAATATATGTGGAGTGTAAGTGTAAGTGTGTTACACATAGGGATAAGAAAATGTGATTCAATGTAGGTCATAAATGAGTAGAATGTATATCTACCAAATTTATGGAACTTCGTGACTATCTTTTTAACAAGGGATGCAAACAATTGGAGATGGAGTGACTATGGAGGTTACACCATTCATGCATACAGAATTTAGGAAGTGGTAAAAGGTTAGTCCAAAAGGCATTTTCTATGTAAAGTCATTTCTCCTTGCCCTTAACAGAAGAAGGGGAGAGCTCTTTTACTGCAGAATTCACATAGTTGTTAAGGCATTAAGTCAAAGCTGGGCATCAGTAAAGCCCATTTCCATAATTGGTCTAGCAACTAGGAAAAAAAATTAAAAGAACCAAAGTAAAGGTGTTAGGTAGTGAAATATAGGGGCGATCATGGGCTGGGCCAGGTCAGGTTTAGCACCAATGATAAGGACTTTAGTCACTGTCCAACAGATTGGGCCAGGTTTACAGGCTTTCTGGGCCTAATGACTTTGGGCCCATGACACCTAACAATAAAATTTTAATTTTTTAAATTAAATGTGTAATACATGAAAAAAAAAACATTACACAAGCCCAAACTAGATTGGGCTTGACTAGGATTTGGACCTATGGCACAAAAAAATATGGCATGGGCCTCATTTAATTCTTAGGCTTGGTTTGGCATGGCCTACCTTTCCATTTATAGATGAAGAAGCCTTCATTCCCATCCTTGAGCAATGCGGGACCTGCAACAACACTCAATAGTGAGTGTTCGTTGAGTGTTATCCCAAGTCCCACATTGCTCAGGGAATGGAATGAAGGCCTTGCTGAGGAGGGAAATTGTCATACTTGAGTTGACTCAAGTGTTGGCACATGTTGACTGGTTGATATACATGTCAACTCATGAATATTTATTTATCTGTTAAAACTTAAAAATATATATATTTTATATACAATAATAAAAATTTAATGTAAAACAAAATTATATTTACATTATATTATATTGCAGGCCAAGCCAGGCCAGGGCTGGGCCTCCACACAAAAACTTGGGCCCGGGCCCGGAAATTTATGGGCTGGGCTTTGCCAGTCCAAGAATGATCACCCCTAGTGAAATGCCAGCCTAACAAACATAACTGTTTTACATAACATCCATTGTTTCTTCACAACTAATGAAGATTATAGTTAACAATTTATATAGCAAAAGAAAAACAATCCTTGCAGGTACAGACAAAGTCCTCTAGAGGTTTACAATAGAATCAATGATAATAAGTTATCTATGTAGTTTCATTGTGAAACAAATAAGAATCCCAAGAAAAAAAATCCTTGCAGGTACAGGCAAAGTCCTCTAGAGGTAGTACCTCTATCTTATCCAAATCAGTCAAGTAAATTGGTTGCTAATATCAGTTTAGTCATCTTGGATTGGTTGGTAGTGCACCCAGAGTTCAAAGATGTAAATCAGTCACTATTTGGTTCAGATTTTTGCTCTTTACATGATATTCTTGTAGATGATGTATAAGGTTCCTCTTTTCTGTTCTTTTTGTAGAAATTAATTGTTCACTAGGAACATGGATCCTCAGCACCATTTTGCCATTAATGTTCTTTTTCATTAAAATAAGTTTCTTTCCACTTTACCATCAAGAAAAAAAGCAGTCAAGCACATTTCAGAAGATGGGATGGCTGATTTTCATTAGTGGTACTTCAAAGCAAGACTAGCATGCATATCTGAAACACAAATTACAGGAGAAAAAAGCATATGTATATTCAGTCACTCAAAGGAAGTTCGATTAAGAACTCAACAGTAAGCAAGCATGAGAGAGAGAGAGAGAGAGAGATCACATGTCAGATCTGCGACCCAGTTGCTCCTGTGGCAGGATGACCTGCGCTGAGTGAGAATCACTAGTATTTGGGATGGGATGGCTCATAATACAGATTGCTCTTGCAACCTTCCCAACTTTCCTAACCTGTTTCACCATTCAAATTCTTTGTTTAGCACAGTCTTCACATTTTTCGTTTTTCTTTTTTCAGTGACTATCAATTTATTTTAATTGGAAGCCTTGAGATCCATTTGAATAAGCTGTTCACACTGGAGGACAAGTACAAAGCTTCTATTATGTGATGATGCAAGGACCATGGACCAACAGAACATGTTGGTAAAGTCTTAACCTTATGTTTCTCTCTTTTAAAAATAATTAACAAGTATTGTCCACTACCGGGAGTTTTTTTATTGATAGCAAATTCCATAATTTTATTTTCCTTTTCTAATAGAAACGAAATCAGATAAACACAGGCATATATGTTACTTCTCAATGTTCCAGCCTCGTACAATGTTTCTAGGGAGGTTACAGTGCAAGAATGTCAGGAACTTCTAATTGAGGCTGAAAATAAAGAGGCTGAGCCCTTGCTTTTATTCCTTGAAAATGAAAAAGGAAATACAAAAATAAATAAAAAGAAAATAATAATTTTCTTCAAGGGTTCAACACAGTGTCCACTGAGGTGTGTTTGATTGAATCCCAACAAATAAGAAAATAATAAAAAGAAACTAGTATATGAATTTTGAAAATATTATAAGCCAACAAAATGAATATTTAATGTAATAATCAATATTATTAAAGTCTTATGATTCACGATTTGACTCTTTTGAATCTTATATATGAACCTTCTTTTGAAAAAAATCTTATGATTTTTATTTGAATATTGCGATTTGATTCATGAATCTTACAATTTATACTATTCAAGTAATTCAAATCAATTCAATTAACAATTATTTCTTGACTTTGTCATTTATTTATTTCTACTTAGTTTTGTTAAGGAAGACTTGTTTTGAAGCCTTTACTATTTACTGGAAAGTGATTTATTTATGTTAAGTAAGACATTTTAGAATCAGTATTGAATTTATTTTCCATCATTTGTAGGTTAAATAGCCATTGTATGTGAATTATTTATCCTTCAAGTCAAACTTGATTGTATCATCTTAGGTTTCTAGTGTGCAAGTGAGTTCTATTGCTTTTGTACATATATGGTAGATATGGGCTAAATATAGAGTAAAATCACTTTTCTATATATAATTAGATTTTTAGAATATCTATTTTTAATTTTTTGATAAGTTTGTAAAACATCGAAATAATCTTAGAATTCACGATTCAATTCTATTGAACTTTCTGATTTATGATATGATTATGATTTTCGAAACATTGACAATGTCTATTGTAATATTTAATCTTACAAAATAAAAATTTAACTTTTATATGACACCTTGCCCAAAAATAATTAGGTTCTGTTGTACATTGAAGGGAGTCACCAAAACCGGGGGGTTCGTACACGTATATGCATGTAGGACTTAGCTAAGCTGTTGGGTTATAGGCCATTCTAGTATACAAGTCCCTTGCAGCTCTCATTCCTTTCCAATGTGGGACTCTCTTCATACTCTACTCACATGTGAATCCCAACAGGTGCTTGGATAAGGTGACCTTCCATAAGCATCTTGTCATTTAGGCATCACCTTGAGAACTATACCACAGTTGTATTTTCTTGATGTTGTTCTGTTTTTTTTTATCAGCAGAAAATATATTTCATTTTATTGAATTTAATTAAAAGTGGTCAGTATAACATGACGACAGAAATGTCAAACCTAATTTTAAATCCAAATTACATAGCAACCCAGAATAATTGTTGCCTTAAGACCCCTTGTTTAGCAAGTGAATCAGCTAACCCATTTGCACTCCTTCTAACCCACTTAAATTCAGCCTCTATGTCCTTTGCAATATTTTCCACTTCCCTTATCATCTTTTTAGGAGTCCAAGGAATCCACCTATAACACTTTGCCAATATGACTACTTTTGAATCCCCTTCCACTTCAACAATTCTAAGACCCAGCTGGTTTTGCTAAACGGAGACCTTGCAGGAGAGCCAATACTTCAGCCTTCAAAGAGTTTCCCCAATTGGTCCTGAAAACATAGCCAAGATCCTCCTCTCAGAGTTTCTGATTACTAGGGCTGTTCATGAATTGGGCCAAACCGACCAATCCGACCTAACTCAATCCGAGTTGGTCGGTTTTCTTAAAATTTTGGTCAACTTCGGTTTAAAATGCGGTTTATGAATTTAACCCTCTTCTAAAGCACAAGTTCCAATTTAAACCAATTGGAGGTGTGTTCCCATTCTGGAAACAGTCTCACCCTTAAATAGGGAGATAGCAAAGAGATCAAAAAATTAGTTTTTGAGTGGGGCAACTTTAGCATCCCAGCCACTACCCTTCCATCCCATGAATGCTTACTATTACATTGTGCCACAGCCTTTGATTCTCAAAAGAGAACCTTCCTAACCATTTGCCTAGCAAACCATGTTTCTACAGGCAATGTTTCCTAACCCTAGATCTCCTTTTTTCCTTAGATTTTCTAACCTATTCCCATTTAACCAAGTGATCCTTCTTATCTTCTCCCGGTTCCCAAAGAAAATCCCTCATGGTTCTCTAGTTGTCTTGCTATCCTGCCTGCTATGCAAAAAGTGGAGAGGAAATAAATGGGAAGATTTGCCAGTGTTGCTCTAATCAAAGTAATTCTTCCCCCTAAAAAGATGTAGTTCCATTTCCAAAGGGCTAACTTCCTAGAGAACCTCTCCACTACTGGCTTCCAAAACCCATTGGACCTAAGGTTCCCTCCCAAAGGCAAACCTAAGTATACTACAAGCATAGTTGTCAAGGCAACAAGGCACTCTTGGAGGCTCACCCCACTTGATCACCAAGTAGTTTTGTACATTGTGTTATAAAATACTTTTATATTCTTAATTTTTTGAGATCATAATTATAAAATAGACATTACTAAACTAAAATATTAATTTTGTATGTTTATATACTATTATGTTTATTATTATTTCTTATTTGTTAGGGTTTAATCAACACATATTGCTATATATTGTATTGAACCCTCAAAGACTTCAAAACTTGGACCAATAAGTAAGGAAAAACTTAAAATTTTGTCTAATCAACACAGTTTCTTATAAAAAATAGGGGTTCAGCCCCTATATTTTTTGACTTTTCTTTCTTCTTTTTCTTCTCATGAATATGTTGATTTTCTATACTTTAACATGAACTTTATACTTTTCTATGGATAATAACTAAGGAAATTTGGCTATGGAACCTAGGGAACTACCCCAGAATATATGTTTTTTAAATCCATCGCCTAGGTGACTAGGCGACAAAGTGCCCCCCTGTTGCCTAGCCTCACCTTGGAGCCTCAAAACTATATTATGACTACAGGCCAACTTCTAACCTCACAGCCCAGCAGCACGACAAACCTTAGCAATTCTCCTTCCAAGTTGATCCCTGCAATTCCACTCTTTCTCTAATCAATCATCAATTCAAATTCCTCACCATTTCCACATGAACACCCTCATAGAACAGAATTGTATCATCAGATTTTTGTTTTGAGAAAAAGTTAACTGATTATATTAGAAAAGAAGACAGGTACATGAGGAAACGTACATGCTACAGCTGAACCAACAAGAGGAAATTACAGGGACAGATTTCTTTCACTGTACATGACTTCCCTAAGGGTACCCGATTTAGCTAAACCATCAGCTATAGTATTTAATTCTCTGGGAATCCAGAGTATGTTTACAGTCATGGTGTTCAGAATATCTCTGGCTTCAGCCAAGTAATGATCTAGTCTCCAAGGGCCTCCCTCTTTCTCCTCTAACCATCTTATTGTATTTGTTGAGTCTCCTTTAATGGTTAGAGCAGACCAGCCCTTCTCTTTAGCGATTCAAAGACCTGTGAGTGCAGCCATGATTTCTGCTTTTGAAGACTCAGCCACCCCGATTGGGCCACTATATGCCCACATGATGCTCTCCTCACTCCCTCTAAAAACTCCACCTATTCCAGCAACTCCAGGGTTTCCCGAAGCACTGCCATCAAAGTTTAAAGTTAGCTCTGATAACAGTCTTGCAGGAATAGTGTTTGCCCTGTTAGAATGTCTTAGTGAAGAGAAGAGGATTTCCCCCAGATTTCTTTGTAAATCATTCAGAGATGCCTTTGAATTCTGCTGAAATGGAGACCCAAAGATTGCCCTGAAAAGTAATGTGAGAGAATAAATCTTCAATAGATCTGGTTTTGTTTTCAAAGAGGCGGTTGTTTCTTTCTTCCCAAATGCACCACAACACTGCTTGGGCAATTGTACACCAGTAAATTTTCCCCCTGCTTCCAAGACCACTGCCCCTCCATGGACATAGAAAATCCATTAGGCTTTTAGGAAATACCCAGCTGTAGCCTGTAAGATTAAGAAAATAGAACCATATTTTTCTTGTTTCTGGGCAGTGTAGAAAGAAGTGATCAGTTGACTCGCCTTCTTTCAGACATAAGGGGTAAGCATGGGGGGAGATGAACAATCTTCCTCTGTTCTTCTTTTGAACCAAGTCACAAGTGTTGATTTTGTGAAGACAGGCCTCCCAAACAAAGAAAGATACTCTTGGGAGAATATTGGAGCACCAGACGCTCTTGTGGGGAAAACTAGAAATGGAGGAATCCAAAACCAAGGCTCTAAAAAAGGACTTAGTTGAGAATTTGCCATCAGGTTGAAGTTTCCAAATGCTTTTGTCTGGATTTAGTCGGGAGATGTAGACCTCACTTAGAGAATTAAAAAGGTTTTCTCTCATCAATCTCTGAATTTCTTAAAGATCTTCTGAAGTTTAGGTTCCAATTAAACCCAGAGGGTGAGGGTTGGATACAGGAGTTGACAGTGGTATCTTTGGAAAGATAGGTTGAACAGGCAGGGAAAAGTGTTTGCCAAGGTATCTGCCCCCACCAAAGGTCATTCCAAAATTTGATTTTCAGTCCATTACCCACTTTGTATTTGATGAAAGAAAAGAAAGAGTAGGTTGAAGAGATACCTTTCCAAGGGTTTGAAGCTTTTACCTGGTTCAGTTGCACTTTGCTATCCCAACCATTGGTGTGTCTTCCGTACTTACTGCT